TTTGGATAAATGTTTTACATTGTTATAAATCTAATATGAGAATTTAAGTCAAATCGGTGAACATGAATTTGACAGCTAGTGCCCTTTTAAGAGAAAACAAAAACAAAAAAGATGAAAGATTTTAGTATAGACCTCACTAATGGTCAATTGAGGAAGAAAGCTATGATATACTCATTAAAGGACATAAAATCCTTTTGATATATAAGTATTATCCATTTTACTATTAAAAAAAGTTCAAACTACATTTAGATTGCTAAATCAATAAGCCTGTTGTAAACATGTATTTCAATTGATTACAAACAAGATTACAATCACCAAAGATGGTATTAAAAAGTACAGTAGAATAGTTTGAAGTACTAGTATCTTATAAGTCAATACAAATCTTCAGCACAATTCAAAATCGAAAATGTATCTGCTGTGGCTGGGACTAAATACTTATCTTTTTTACTGTTACAGAGGAAAATATTTGAATTCTGTATGATGACGCAATTGAGTCAGTCACAGTTAAGTGACAATTTGAGTCAACCCTGAGTGCATTTATCTATAGTCTAGGGGTTGGTCCAAGGGACCCCCCCCCCTTTTTTAATTTTATTTAATCATCTGAACGTTTCATCTGTTCTTGAGGTTGGAACCCTTTTCAAAATGACTGGATCCACGCCTGAACCCTGTGATCACTTTAGATTAACTCCTTAGACCACTGGGCTTCAAGATACTAAGGAAACACAATGTTCTTTCACACAAACACCGAACTTTGAACAAGAGGTGCCTCCATAACATTTAAAGAACTCTCTGGTTAAAAAGCATTTTATTCTTGAAATAAGGAAATTCTTACAAATATGTAAATGTATGCTAAATACCCGGTATTCTTTTGTCAAAAACTTACAAATTAAATTCCGTTTCTGGTCAAATGAAGCAATTTTCACATTCATGATATCATAGCAAAATCAAGAGTAACATTTCTGCAATTTATTTTCATGGTTTTAGCAAAACAATCATTTTGATTTTGAAAGGCCATGTTGAACTCGTCTATCCCATCGAATTTGAGATAAAGGATACAACAGATACAGTTAAGTAGGCCTCATATCTCGACTTACATCTAGAGTTTGACAATGACAGTCGGTTGAAAACAAAACTTTACGACAAAGAGATGATTTCAGCTTCCCAATTGTGAACTTCCCATTTTTATGTAGCAACATTCCAGCAGCACCTGCATACGGAGTATATATCTCCAAGTTGATACGATATTCCAGGGCTTGTCACTTCCTATCATGATTTCCTTGACAGAGGGTTGCTGCTCACAAGGAAGATATTAAAACAAGAGTTCTAAGTGATGAAGTTGAAATCGTTCCTTCGTAAATTTTATAGACGCCATCACGAGTTGGTTGACAATTACGGAATATCCGTTTCACAGATGTTCCAATTGTCGTAACTACAATCCCGTCCCTTTCTCCCTGAATGTGACCTACCGAATTAGATTTATCACCAGGTTTTTCCTAACATGAGGGTGCAGGATCTGCTTACCCTTCCGGAGCACCTGATATTACCCCCCGTTTTTGGTGGGGTTCGTGCTGCTCAGTCTTTGTATGTTGTGTTTTGTGTACTGTTGTTTGTTTGTCTTTTTCTTTCTAGTTTAGTTGTCAGTTTATTTTCAACTTGTGAGTTTGAATGTCCCTTTGGTATCCTTTACATCTCTCTTGACATTTTTTTTATTTTCTTTTATGAACTAGATTGGTACTAATACTTTTGACTTATTTGTATCTGGTATATTTGACACAAGAGCTTTAGATGAAAAATACATACTACACATGAATGGCTCAAACATAATATTATATTGGACGACTGATTCATGCTCAATGTCCAGTAGAAGATATTAGTTTTTCCTGTGATGTCAAGATATATTGTATATACTAACTAGTTTTGTGATGCTCATCCATTGTGCACGGACAATCTCTAGCTTGGTTAAACCAACGACTTTAAGATTGGTATTTGCTGCTTTTTAACAAAAAGCACATGGCATTTAGGAGTTAGAACTAGGATTGGTTGTCTGAGAGTCAGAATAATGTATATGGGTGACATGTGTTTCCTGCAGTCTGTTACCTTGTAAACAGCATGTTTAAAGTCTAGGTCAGTGTGTCAGTGTTGTACAAAGGAGGGTCCATAGCATTTACTGTAAATTCAGAAATTATTGCGTGCATTTATTATTGCGATTTTGTCATTTTAGACTAAAATGCGATTTTAATTTTTGCGATATTGAGAAAAATCCTGTTCAAGTCATATAAAAAATTTCAAAATGCGAGTTTAAATTATTGCGATTATAACCCTGTCGCATTTATCGCAATAATTTCTGAATTTACAGTACTTGAATATGAATTTAATTTGACAATGAAAGTCAAATATCATCATAATGTATAAACTCTCGTCTTGAAATGGAAGAGAAAAACATAAAAATTCATGATAGGAAATCCCTTCACAAAGAAACAGTAATTTACTGCTTGATCTCGGTCAGTATCTAGATGACTGTTAGTTTTTAAGTCAATGGGTTGCAGTGTCATTGACATATAGCCTCATCTCCTTTTATTCATATATTACTTTCATATTCAGCACAATAAAATGTAAATATCATAAGAATACATACATGTAATATACCCTCTTTTGTTCTTGAATGATATCTTCACTTATCTTGCAAGGTTTCATTTCACAAGAAGACATACTTTATTACCACAGCAAGATACATAATTGAATTTGAGCTGACCAATAACAGCTTTTAGTACTGGGTAATCTGAATGGCATCTTATACAAATGTAAGAGACTCATTTGAGGATTAATTATTGTTTTCATTTAGTAATATGATGTACAACTGATTGGAGTTGGATTTTATGTCATGGAATATTCTTATATGTTTGAATGATCCCTGATTGTGGTAAATAAGTATGGAAGAGAAAAGGAAATCATTGGGGCAAAATAGGCTTAAATCTATTACGAAAAATACTGAATATACATTTCAAGTATTTGTCCTGAAATATACATAATTGTCTTGAAAAGTACATTACATTAGTCCAAATTGACTTAATTTTGTATAAAAATAATTAAGGCATAAATGGAGTTCTATAAATACAAGTTTAACCCTGCCACTTTCTGTATATGCCTGTCCCAGTGGTTGTCTTTTGTTACTGTCCATCATTTTTGTATTTGGTTTGTTGATTTGTACATAATGATTGATTTTCTCTTTTAAATTACATTTTGTCATGTCTTGGCTTTTTATAGCTTGCTATGCAGTATGGGTTTTGCTCATTGTTAAAGGCTGTACTGTGACCTATAGTTGCTAACTTCTCCATCATTTGGTCTTTAGTGGATAGTTGTCTCATTGGCAATCATACCACATCTTCTTGTTTTATATGAATGTTGATACTTGTTTGTTCTTTCCAGTACATGTTGACCTTACTTAGGTAAATACATGATGAAAGAACGTAAAGAACAAATAAAAAACAAATATTGCACAATTTTTTTCTCTGCTTTGAAACAGTCAGGGTTGTCCATTGCCATATATCTGATCATCCTGTTTACCATATAGAAGGACTCTATCAATGGTCTTAACCTAGAATGGCTATCAATGGCCTTAACTTAGAATGGCTATCAATGGCCTTAACTTAGAATGGTCATCTCAAATCTTGGGTTCAACCACAAACAAACAAAAACTTTCATATTGGCAGGGCCTAATCTAGGATTTTGGAGAGGGAGAAGTGACTTCTCCTTCCATCAGAGAGAAGGGAGAAGTGGTCAATTTCTTGGAGAAGTGAGATTCCATTACCGTTTCGGTTGCATAGTGTTCTCGTGCTTATCACTAAGGAAATTGCTTTATATGTTTATGTTTTTTTCATGTTATTGCACAAAATGTATATATAGAAAGTTCTTAATAAAAGGGTTTAGACAATATAGTTGTTATTTATTCATTGTACTGTCAACTTGAATTTAAGTTTAAATAAAATTTGTTGCTTGGGACATGAGGGAGTAGCCTAGTAATATTATGATGCATCAAATTCATGTGCATCTGCCTCAATTTATTTTAAAATGTCTAGAAAAATATGATTCCCATTTTACCTGATGAATTTCACATGACTGGGAATTTAATTTATATCACCACTTTGTCATTATTTTGTAAAATATTATTGAATGTCCAGGACATCATGTTACATGCATGTAGTTGTAAATTTAGATTCTCGTTAAAGATTGTAAGCCTATAAATGAAAATATCTGTCAATCACATTTTGATTAACCAATACAGAGCTAATTTCTATAATTTTTTAAAGATCATTTCCCTATCAACGAAATAATAGTCGTGAAAAAAATTCCACTGCTGATCATAGCTGGTCGCGTGTCGTACGTTTGCAATTACATTATCCATCAGCTGTCTTACTACCTTTTATATTTCAATTTTTATTCAATGAATATAATAAATCTACCGTTAATTCCCACCCTTAACCCACCGAATAGTACAATTTGATCGACTCGTAATAAATAAAAATAAAACAACTCAGCTGAGTGATTACGCAACATCCTCAGATAAAAATCATCGTAAAACGATAACTTTAACAGACGGTCAGTTTTCCGTTTGAATAGTTTTTGAATGTTATATCCTATGATGCTCAAAGTCGCCGTTGTATTTATTTAATTTGATCGTCGACAGTATTAGTCCTGGGTCGTTTCGAAAATCTCGATTTTCCTTGTCAGTCGCCATTTTTTTTACCTGGGACACTTGAAATTCACAAGTTGTCTCCCTTTTACCAATTTTCATAGCAATTTGACTTCGCCATGAAGTCAGTCGGCTGGCGAGATTTAGCGATTTTCAAAATTCTTTGGCGACTTAAATCGTCATTTCGCCGGCAAGATTATGGCCTGATTGGTATTTGCTGCTTCCACACTAAGCACAACACAGAAGCAAGACACATTAAATATACTCATCCAGCCATCCCTACTGATGGAAAGAAAACAAACAATTGAAATAAATGATATTAATTTAGTATGAAATGATTATGATAGCAATGAGATTCTACAGTCATATATAAAACTACATCATGTTTGTCTTCGTCGTAAAATATAGCGTCCTTTCTGTAATTGTGATAGATATATCTTTATCTTTGAACTATCAGATAACTTCCGTACATAAATCTGAAAATTATAAAAATTTTATGTTAGAAAAAAATCATTCAACTCACTCATATCAATGATAATCATATATACTCAGAATAAGCAAATTGTAGGAAATACAACAATTCATAAGGAAGAGGTCTATTTTGTTCTGTATACATCAATCTTTAATAAAGAGGAAAGGTATGATAAATTTAAACTTTCGCAAATTGTCAATTTTTTTTAGCAAAATGCTCAATATTTTGTGATATTTGTTCAAATTCTAGTCAAAATTAATATGAGTTTATACTTGTCTCACAGAAAATATTCTATCAAACCTTGAAAGAGAATATTTGTGTGTTAACAAAATATTTCTGTGTGACCAGTAATCTAAGATTTATACTGTGTGCAAATTTCAATTCGTTTTTTTATGTTTTATGTCACTTCCTTTATATATGTAGTGTTGCTTCATTGGCATATCCCCCCACATTCTCCTTTTCATATAAGTCGTAAATAAAATAAATCAAATAAAAGCGTAACACACAAAAATTAGGACTATTTGTAAAAATCTACTTTACATTAGCATGATGAATAGTGTCCAATTTTTGAATTTCTGGCAAAGGGAGACAACAATTCATACGTTTTTAACAGACTGTTCCCTGTCTTTGCAAACCTAATGGAAAGAGCAAATATGGATTTACGTAAGCCGCCAAGAATTTAAATTTTGTTTAAGCACTTAATTTGCAATCTCCCTTTTTCCCATTTTCCCAAAGCACGTACAGAGTCAAAACTAGTGTCCTTTCTCATACAATACGCCATACTCATGCCACCTTTTTGTATATGTAAGGTCCTTCCTAGGAGTTAATTCCCTTTGCCAAAAAATCTTAAATAGGGAACAAAGTGGGCAATTTGAAAATTGACAATTGTTTAATACCTACCTCCTGTGTTCCTATAGCAGTGATCACACCATTAACTTTACCAATGTCTTTCCCTTCAATAAAAACAGGCTGATTTCTGTGAAACCTGAAAATATAATAACACATTGACCTGTAATACATAGAATTAAGAATGGTGTACCCTGTTGTATTAAATATTACTAAAAATGTTCAAAAAAGTAATTTGTAACATTTTTATCATTCCTCATCCTCAAATTTCTCAATCAGGCCTATACCCAGGAGTACAACAATGCTCCTTTTTCATCAAAGTGTGTGTTTCCGTGCAATCAAGGAATCCTTTTCATCACAAAAAACAGGTATAAATCATACAAGAATCTCTGCTGGATGATACTGTGAAAAAGGTTCTTTTTTTCAAGTTTTGATGGGTCATTGTCTAATATACATTCCCCATTTGAAAAAGACTTATTGAGTGATTGATAGGTTGGATTGAGTGATTGATGAGGGGCTTAATCTTGAAAGCTTTAGTTGTTTGTTTTTATTCCATAATCTTGAAATAATCTTATATACATCAATAGATCTTGTTAAATCGCTATTCTTCAAATGAAACAATAAAAAAAAAAAAATCTTTTCTCTCTTTCTGAGGTTTCACCAATTTTCCATACTCTGTAATATCAAAGCTGTCATAAAATTCACAATTATCTATTTACCATCGTTTGTCATAAAACAACCTTCCATCTTCAATTTTCAGTTCAGAATTATTTTCAACAGGACTTGGTGGGGATGAAGTAATTTTCTTGGTAAATGGTTTACCGCTAACTTTGTTGATAATTCGTAAATCGTCTAAGATATCGGCATCATCCAAATAAAAGTCTATCTGTAGTAATGTCAGTTAAGAAAAAAATCTTGTTACTCAGTTTTAACATGAATTCCTGTTATAAAAATAATTTGAAACACCATAAATATTTTACAAAATGAATAATTCAAACTATTTCTACAAAATGTGGCTGATAAGGCCCTACATGAGAGTAGAAAAACAATCTCAAAGGAAAGGAAAGTAGAATATAACAATCACAGGTCCCTAAAATGTTTTTTTTTAAAACTCTGAAAATTTTATTGATTTTTGGTATCAACCATAAAATGTATGTACTTTAATAGAACAATGCTGTTTTTTGTTAAAAATCCATTTTCATGATTTATACAGGCATGAAATGACATTGAACTCAGTAAAATCGTAAAATTATGCAAAACATGACTATTTGATTAGTACAGAATTAGAAATTAAATAAATAGAGTACAGCTGTTGCCAAAAAATATGTTTAAACTGTTAGTGTATTCAGTGTATATCTTTTTACTTACAAAATACTTTTTGGGGCAACATTTGTGCTTTATGTTAATTTAGCTAAAATGTTCTTACGATTAGCCTACTTTGGGAAAAATCTGACAAATCTCACATACGATGTCACTTAAAAGACTTCAAAATCTTATTTCGGCATCAAGACTTGGCTTCTATTTACATTTTCTGAAAAATCAATCTTCCCAAGCTTAAAACATGTGATTAGTAATAACAGAAGGCAATGCTTTATTTTTGGTGAATTTTCAGAGCCAAAATGTACATTCTCCTTTAAAAACTATCCCTATTGTTATTTATTTTTCTATCCATTACTTGTTTGAAATCAATAATAATACAATTCAACGAAAATTACCAGCATTGACAGAATATCAGGGTCCATAGAAATATAAAATAACGAATTATGATTTATCAATGAATATCAATATTTAGTTAAGGAACAATGCCAAATGACAAGATTGTATTGTGTTTGTTGTTAAGATATGAACAGCAAGAATTACCAAACAAGATATTTAGCTGCAACACATCTTGATCAAAGATATGACATGTTTACTGTACACTAACTAATTTTCGCAAGCGATTTATTTTCGCGATTAGAGAAATAATGCGAATATAAATCATCGCGAAAAGGTAACACTTGGAACTTTCCTTATTGAACTACATCAAGTTAATTAGAAAATTGTGAATTTAAATCGCCACAAAGTGTGTTAGAAAGGGCTAAATGCGAAATAAAGTATCTGCCAAAATTAGTTGGTTTACAGTAATTATTTTTTGGAAGTATTAAGAATCTGTCAAGCAATGAAAATATTTGATAATTTTTGCCTTTACAAAATTTTATTTAACTATCTGAAAAAGCTAAGAAGCAGATTTCAGGCATAAAATACAAGTACTAAAAGGATATCTGGTGAGGCTTTCCGTCTTTTCTCAGGTAATGGCATGGGGTCATTAGGTCGTCTCCTCAGTCTACGTGTTGATGGTGCTTTTGATTCTAAAGTATCAGACAACATAAAATCTGAAATGTAAAAAAAAATACATTCAATTAAACAACAGGACTTGAAATAAGATTCTCAATAGTTTGTAGCAATTGAAAATATAAACAACTTTGTACTAAACTGTTACCATTTTATGCATTGAAAAGTCAATTATGAATACTATCTAAAGACTTGATTGAAAGAGTCCATGATTTGGTAGCTGTCTCATTGATAATATACCCCTTTCCTCATCTCATTACAGAAGATGTATTGAAAGCTATTCAAGAATGTCATAGGAAATGAAAATGTGTCATACAGTTCTAGACAGATGAAGGTTGGTATATAAATAGCACATAGCTGCGAGGGTGATAGAGCAAATTGTTATCCCAAGAAAACATTGACAACTGAGGCGAAGCCAAGATTGACAATTTTTTTTGTCGAGGGGAAACAATCTGCTCTATCACCCTTTCAGCTCTGTGTTATTTAATTTATTATACTGAAAGTTCGCTTATTACTGTGAAATAAATTTCAAATTCAAAGTTAAATTATGATGTTTGGTACATAACAACCATCAATATTTAATAAAGCGCACATTCAAGCATCTCAGTGAAGGGTAATATGATTATAGCCATGGGATAGAGTTAATTATCTCCCTAGTATTAACCAATCAAAATCTGACATTTAAGCATGAGCTATAATAATTTCATATATCCAGACATAACAATGACTTTAAAAAGGTTTTTAATTATATTCTTCACCCCAAAACAGCCATTCGTTTGAACTGTCATTCTAAAGGTATGAATCTAACAATTTTTGAAGGGTCCTACAGTTAAAAAATCTCCACATTAAACTGTAAGATTGCAACAAACGGGGTAAAAATCTATTGAAAATGTATGAAAATATCCTGTTCTTCAACTGTAGACTCAGAGATCTCAAAAAAAACCCAAGAAAATTAGAACATGTAGAATGCACAAATAAAAAATAACTTCTAACACTACTACTTAAACCTGAAACTGGACTATTTGATCAGGACATACAGTGAAACTATTAATGAATTTAACATGTGTAAACAGTCTTATGCAAACATTATCTTCAGTAAAACAAAGTTTTCACTGTAGATATTAAACATACTACTTCTTGTGAGATCTTCAGTAAAAACCAAGTTTTCACTGCAGATATTAAACATACTACTTCCTGTAAGATCTTCAGTAAAACCAAGTTTTCACTGTAGATATTAAACATACTATTTCCTGTGAGATCTTCAGTAAAACCAAGTTTTCACTGTAGATATTAAACATACTACTTCCTGTGAGATCTTCAGTAAAACCAAGTTTTCACTGTAGATATTAAACATACTACTTCCTGTGAGATCTTCAGTAAAACAAAGTTTTCACTGTAGATATTAAACATACTACTTCCTGTGAGATCTTCAGTAAAACCAAGTTTTCACTGTAGATATTAAACATACTACTTCCTGTGAGATCTTCAGTAAAACAAAGTTTTCACTGTAGATATTAAACATACTACTTCCTGTGAGATCCAGTGAATTTCTTTCATTCTCTATCATCTTTGATTTGTCTTCATATTCAAGTATCAAACTTTCTTTTAAGTCAATCTTCTTTTCCTGAAATGCAGAAAAAGGAACAAATCCTAAGGATGTCATGATAAAATTGAGAATGGAAATGGGGAATGTGTCAAAGAGACAATAAACTGACCAAAGAGCAGAATACATACTATAAAATAATTTTCTTATACATGAATGAGGGGATAGGAGGGGTTGTCATCCTGGAAAATAGAGCATTCTAGACGTCCTGAAAAAGGTCCTTCCGCCCCTCATGAATACTGACAAATGAATACAGACCTTTTATTAGGCTTTTCAAAGCCAAACATTACCTTAGCCATAAAATTTATATATTAGAAAAGAATTTGACTCAAAGTTGATTTAAATTTCATTAACTGCTCTTTTAACAGATCTAAAAATGGTTATTTATGATATAAACTTTTGATTAACTGTCAAATGCTGATTTCAATTTCATAAATATATTTCCAAGCAACATTAAACTAGTTATTTATAATAAACATCTCATCAATTTAACCTAGATTCAGCTTTCATTGTTGAAGACTATATTCTCTCTAGGTGTCTTTTGCTTTTATTTGTCAGTAGGTTGCAGTCTCATTGAGGTATACCCTATATCTTCATAACACTTGTACATTGACAAAGGCTGTTTAATGATGTAATTGATATATTCCTCACATCTCTATTAATTTGTTTCCATCTATTTTCATACTTTCTCTTTTGCTATTTCACTCTAAATTGTTTACAATTCCAAAAACTGAATATTCTGTTAAGATAATTTTGTTGATTATTTTTTTGAAAGTTATTTGTTTCTAATATGACTAATTGACCAAGTATAACAGTGTATATTGAGAGTTTTTCTTCGTTATTTAGGTTTTTAAATAATTTCAAAATTCTATTATACCTCAAAATCTTTAGCTGTAGCTTTCTTTTCCTTTATATATTCTCTTTCAACAACTTCTAACTGAAATGAAATCAAGAAAATTAAATAAATAACTTTCCAAAATTTTTTCTCCTATAAACCTGAAGTGTTCTATACTGACACAACATATTTTCTCTATAATGACACAACATATTTTCTCTTTACTGACACAACATAGTGAACATACATATTTTCCCTATACTGACACAATATTTTCCCTATACTAAGACACAATATTTACTCTTTACTGACACAAAATATTTTCTCTTTACTGATAACATATTTCTCTTTACTGACACAACATATTTTCTCTTTACTGACACAACATATTTTCAGTATAGTTTGTAACATAAGTTTAAAGCTTAAACTTTATTCCATTCATACTGATTTTTTGGATGGATTTTTTAATTCTTAAATTTTATAATCAGGTTGCAGACTTTTTCACAGGTTAGGGAAATCTACAATTCTAGTTTATATAGCTCCGTTCAGTCATAATAAGTTATCTCCCTTCCACATTTTTCAAAGGTTTCTGCATTCAACATTTCTATGGAGTAATATAATGTACAAAATTTTAACTTTCATCATGATTTTTCACAGTAATAGAAAAGAAATAGTTCATAATTGTATTCAGTAGCACTTCCCCAATAGGATTGTGCAGTTTCAAATTGCTAATTTCCAATTAACAAGTGAGAAACAGGAATTTCATTGACAACTTGCAAACGTAGGTAATTTTCTATAGTCCCATTGATATTTATACATATATAAAGCGAGTTTCAGCTATATGAGATCATATTAGCTCACACTGCAGAAAAACAGAACCTGATGCATGTTTCAAACTGACATATCAAGTTACATCTGATTCCATTTAACCATTCTAAGAAACACACTATTAATAATCTTACACCGAATATGCTACAGATCAAATTCTTTGCATAAATCTTACCTCAAAATCTCTCCAAATTTCATTTATTCTTATTCTTTCTTTATACTGTTGCTCAATTTTCCGTCTTTTCTTGATATATTCTGGCAAGGTTCCATCTTGTAGTTGTTGCAGCTGTTTCTTTAAATGTGCTAACTTATCTTGGTACATTCTACAACAATGAAGAACTCACTTTAATGTCAGCCAACTTGATCTCATCAGAAATATATTTCTTGTGATATGAATAAATCTCTGAATGTGGAACCAAAAGCCAATAGCCTACAGTCATTCATATTAGCAGAAAAATTAGATATGGTGGGACTGTTTTATATTTCTTAATTTGTCTCTGAAACTTTGAAACTTGAAACTTTGAAACTTTTCATTTCACTAAAGGCCTCACATGAGGTATGATAGTACAAACAATAAAATATAACAAATATAATGCATGAACAAAATTATACATATATACATATGTACAGAATTATCCAGGAAGGTAATTAAATATCACTTAAATATTGACATTACAATTTTACAGAATTTAGACAATCCAACAAGAGTGAATTTATCATTACTATTCATTAGTTCATAGAAACTATCAACATTTTTAACTTTACATATCTCTGCAGTTTAAAACTTTTGTCTATCAATATTGAAAAAATTGCAGCTAAATATATAGTGAAATTCATCACCCAATTCTTCTTTATTACATAAATCACAAAGTTGACAAACTCTTTCTGACCAATCTATACTAAAAAGCCATTGAGTTGTAATAAAGTAAGTAATTTGGATTGTCTCCCCTTTATCATGTAAGAAGTAGTGTTCTACAACTGTGCAATGTTTATCATGATCAGTATCTAGCGGTTTAAGAGAAGCTCAACAGAAAAATGGTTAAACATGTTGTACAGGGTTATTCCAAATTCCCCCCATAAAACTTTCTTAGCACGGTCTGTCTTTTTATTTTTAGGGAGAAAATTTTAATTATGCAAGATGTTTAAAAAAAATTATATACTGGTATTTTATTCCTGGTCAATTTCTATAACCTTTTACAGATTCAAATATATATAAGATATATACAAATATTCATCTCTTCAAGTTTGTTTACTTGGAAATTTGTCATAAATTTTATAGAAATGGTTCAAGAAAATGCCTACAAAATTATGAAAAGTTATAACCCCAATTCATTTATTTACATTATTTATTTTTTTACCAGGTGTTTTTTTTTACTTGGAACTTTTAGAAAAAAATTTGGTGAAAAGTCATGATGTCAAAACACTGATCAAAGATACCAGGTAGAAATTAAAACTTGTGTTTTCAATGTTTTAACATTTTATGAACATTCATTTACAGAAAATGGTTGCATCAAAGATAATTCATGTCAGCACAAAAGTGCTGACTACTAGGGTGGTACTATCCCAGGGGACAAAAAATAAACATACTGTTCTTTAATTTCTGTGTATTCTGTTTCTTGTTTGGCCATGTCTGTTTCACTGGCATCTTCTGTATCTAAAAATGAACAAAAATCAAATTAAATCAAATTTTAATTTTCTAATCTGGCTGCAAATTGAACGTCTGATCTCATTTAAGAAACAAATGACTTCAGATTCCAAAAACAAGCAAACTACATACACTGACATACCATGCACTGTGCATATAAAATCCAAAATCAGCGAAAGTTAGATTAATATTCAAGTAGAGGATATTGATGGCAGCCTTGCACACTCAGGCTAGGGTCAATAAGTAAATTGTTATGTAATTTCACAAGTTATCAAGGTAAATCCATTTAAAAATAGTTTGTACACACACTAGAGGCAAAATTGTACTGATGCGCCACTAATTCACAAGGGGTTGTAAAGTTTAGAGTGAAGACTATCTTCCCTTACCAGATTTTAACCCATCAGTTTCTTCAATGAGTGCCTGTTCCAAGTCAGGAATATGGCAGTTGTTTTTCATTCTTCCCTTGGTTGGTATAGTCTAAAGTTTTATTTTGTCAGGTTTCATGGAATGCCCCCAATTTAGCTTGGAGTTCTGTATTTTTGTTAATACTATTTTTGTACATATGGCATGGATGGCTTAGTTAAAACTAACTTTTGTACCATCATTTCAATATATATTTTCTTCCATGAACCCATGCCTACACCTTTTAGTAGTGGTGAATAGGCAAGCCAAATTTAATTGCCCAACTCCTTCAGGATTTAATAATGGCAAAGTTCATGATTTGATAAAGAAACTGGAAAAAAAATCATATCATAAAAAAATTAGGAGGCAAGCAATGGCATTATATTTTGAAAATTCTGATTCAATAAATTATATTACTGGGTTAAAGAAGACATTACATATATAATACTACCCCCCCCCTTTTTCCCTCCAATAAAACAATGGCAAAGTCCATGCTTGACTAAAGGAAACCCCAAAAATATTTCTGATTCAAAAATAAAAGGAGGCACACAATGGTATTATATGGTGCAGATTCTGATTCAATAAATTGTAATAAGGGGGTTAGAAGTTGCAGATCTATGCAAAATGAAATGGGTCCCCCAAATAAAACAATGGTAAAGTATTTGATTTCCTTAGGAAACCCCCAAAATATTTTTAATGAAAAACAATTATCACTTTATTTTTAGATAAATATGTGCATCCATTCTCAGAGCTTTATAAAAATTCTGATTAGTTAATTAGGAACAGGTGATATAAGTCTGTACAAAAGTGTGCCCAATTAAACCCCAAAACCATTCAGATATAAGGTGCAAAAGTACAACTTATGAGCAAGATTCTGGCCCATTTCTGGGAATGTTTCACAAAATTCTGTTCATTGATTCAACAGCAATATAGCAAATACAAAAGGAGGAACAGGGGCTGGGGACAACCTGACAGATAATCCAATCACCATATACTGCCTGCTTCAAGAAGATGGGGTAACAAAATGTTTAAAATTTTTATCAATGGCAGTATAAACATGATAAAGAAAGAGAAAACAAATCTTCAATAAAACTATCAAACTTGTATTTAACTAATAATACTAAACATACTAAAACATTTGTAACAGTATTGTTTATTTAAATAGTCATACAATTATTTTATAAGTATGCATCTCAATACAAAATTGAAACATTTATATGACTTGTATGTATGTTTACATTCTGGATAATTCCTTTAAATAAGTTATTTATAGACCATTGCAGATTTGTCATAAAAAATATGAATAAAAACCATTCAAATAGTAAAACAATTTCATGAATTAATGTACCATATCTCTACTTTTCCATTAAATTCCCTGCATGTTGCACATTTGAATTTTAAGCTGATCTTGATTGATAATTGATAATATTTTTTTTTAAGTTCAAGGCTCTTTTAAAATATGAAACGTACTTGAAACCTTAGCTTAATCTGCTCATCTAAATAAACAAATAAAGATAAAAAGGATAAATATGATCCTTAATATATTCAATTTATAACTGAAAGTTATTAAACCAATCTGTCAAAGAAATATAATAAAATTGCTGACATGTTAAAATGTAAAGTACCTGTGAAGTCACTCATCATAAGACTGGGAAATTCCCTGCAGCGTAGGGGAGATAATTCAAATTATAAAATGATGATAATCTCTGAAACTAGCTTTGTCATTAATTTTTGCATTGCCAAAATATTTTGTACTTATGATAAGTCCACATGATTTTTATTAATTTTGATGATATTTCTCTCTTCCTCCCTAAAGGATTTTCTCAAATTGATTCAGACATATTACCTTTTTAAATATATTTATTTTATTAATTCCTTTAGTAATTTCAGTATAAATTAAAAACATAATAAAACACAGTTCTGTCCACCAATAAATTTTAAGGAGAGGATATAAGACTAACTTCAGTGTTTTTTTTTAAAGATTTGACAACTAATTGAACTTATAACAAAGTGTAAAGTTGTCCTTCTTATCACTGGGTCAAATTGAGCGATATATACATCTTATAAAGCAAAATAATGCCCAAACTATTGTAGAAAAAAACAATTTGAAAACTAATTATCTGAGAAACTCAGGCCTAAAATGTATTATTATTTTCAACATTTTAACCAAACCTGCAGGCCTTGGGACTTCAGGCTTACCTATTATTGAATAACTGCTACTGTCAAATCAAATCTACCTTCGGCTTCCCATAAATTTAAAATCAAATAATATATATATATTAAAAATCCTGCAATATATAAGCACTTTTTGTGTTACATGCAAACAAACTAATTCTTAAGTTAAAAAACAAGTACCAGTAAAAAATGGTTGTGCATCTACATGAAATTGAGGAAACAATGTTTTGTTTACAGAGGTTACATGTAAATATAAGTTAAGAGTCCAAAAAACAGTATTTATCTATTTTCTAATGCAACCATTTATAACCACTTAAACTGAAATAAACTGTTGACACAGAGATATGTCTAGCCTGTCTGCAGAAAATTCAGAAAAAGACAATCTGATGGACAGCAATACTGGTAATTAATTGAAAGTCACTGGACCATGACCTAGGAAGCAGGGCATCGAAATATTCCTAAAACTGGTATGTACTGATAGTAATACAACTTTATAGAAAATGTCATTGATCTATCACAAGTAGTTCCTATCAAACTAACTAGTTCCTATCAAACTAACTTAAGCAGAAAACTTAAAATTGAAAATTGCTTATTAATTGAAAGTCACTGGACCATGACCTAGGTGGCGGGCCTCAAGTAGTCATCAATCTGATATATGCTCTGATAATAATGCAACTTTATACAAAATATCATTGATCTATCACAAGTTGTTCCTATCAAACTAACTTTAGCAGAAAACTTAACAATTGTTGACGCCAACGAAAATGCAGTCGCTGTAAAAGTAACCTACTTGTATGTCTCGCATTCTGCGACTTTCATCGCTGGCGAGACAAAAGATATGTCTCACCTTTATGCTATTTTGATAGTATAATGCAAATGTTGAAATTGAAATGGCAATTTTCAAACTATGCAAAACATTCAAAATATAAAAGGAGTGAAACCAGGTGTGTAAACCCTTTTATATACAATTTCAACCCCTTTTTATGTTACCTTCATAAAATAGCACCTAATTGATATATTTGACATCCCAAAAAAGTTACCCGTACCAGTGGCATGTCTGTGTATACCGTTAAAATAGAATCAACACAACAGACAAATAAATATTACATGCACTGGACGTCGTTGGCGTCCATGTTTCTAATACTTATGTTTGTTATGGACAAAATGTTTGTACGTTTTATTTAAAATTTGTTTCTATGGTTTATATGTATACTGGGAATGATATATTGACAGTTATATATAGTATTTATTTAAGTAAATATTTCATGAAAATTCATTATAAAAAAAATAGAAGAGAGTTCCAATGTCCCCGGACTCCCCCGCGTTGCACATACATTATATTTTATCTTCCCCTGGGCAATAACTAAAAAAAAACAACTTTTTTTTGTTGTTCTTTAAAACATTTATAAATAAAAAGCGTGCTCGGGGGACAAAAAATGTTTCTTTTATTGTATACTTAATATTTCAAACAGACCTTGAAGGGCATTACTTAGAGTATACTATAAATCTTATAAAAAATTGTACCTGTGAGAGTGCTAACGAGGCCATTTTCCATAAATTTAAGATTTCCAAGGGTCATAACTCTTTTAAAAAAAGTGGATCATCCACCATTAAAAAACTTATCTGAGATATTGCTGATATTAACCTATAGTATAAGTTTTATAAAAATCTGGCAAGAATTGTACCCGTGAGAGCGCTAACGAGGCCATTTTCCATAAATTTAATATTTCGAAGGGCATAACTCTTTTATAAAAAGTAGATTGGCCACCATTATAAAACTTGTTAAAGATATTGCTGATATTAACCTATAATATTATAAGTTTTATAAAAATCTGACAAGAATTGTACCTGTGAGAGCGTTAACAATACCAGACGGACACATGGACTGATGCCCGGTATTTCCATATCCCCCGCAATGCGTTACGCAGGGGACACATACTAACAAATCTTGTTTTCAAAGAAATCATTATTTTATTTTAATTGCTTATTGTATTTTAATACTATGCACATAAAAGTCTTTTAATTTATGCATTCATCAACAGAATAAACCCATAGTTGGGTTGAAACTTGGGTCAAATTTATATATTTAAATTACTAAATTTATCATGTTTATCGACAAGACTTTTTAAAAAAAAAATTCATAAGATTTCATTAAATTAGTTTATATATATTGAATAGTATAATTTTTGGAGGGGACTTTTTTACCGTAGCCCACAAAATAGCCTCTTAGGTGCTATTTAACTAGCTCCTGCAAAATAGCCTCCTTAGCCCTGTTTTGCTGGTTCTGGTTCAAAAAAATGTAAATAACGATTTATATAGTGTGTTGCTATTTTGCCGCTCTTAATTCAGATTTTTCAGTATATAAATTACAAACAGAATGAAATGTAGAAACAAACAGTTACCCTCCTTAAAATAATATATATTGATAAAAAATACAAATGAAATACAAATTGAACAAAGAATCATATAAGGATGGTAATTTAGGATTTAAAACGTCTTTGAACATATATAAGAAAATAATATTTTGAAAATTGTTTGAGAGATCTACAAATCTTCTCAATGCTTAAATTGAAATTTATAAGATATGTATTAACCATCTGGAATCACAACCATGCCAGGGCTTTACAGCCAGTCAAGGTTGTTAAAAAACCCCATAAGTAAGAATCATGAGGTGATGAGGTGATTGTTAATGCTAAATCTGGTTCAATCAACAACAGCTAGTTAAATGATAATGAGGAATACACTAAGATGAAGACAAAACTGAATGAAGGGAAAAATCACAAACAAATAGCTATAGTATAGCTTAATATTGACAAATAATTCACATGGTAAGTACTAACATTACAGAGAGAATACATTAAAGATATACTGTTATCTTAAAAAGGGGAAATATGTAGCTTTATATTATCATCAAAATGAACACTGAAAACGTCAATAAATATGTCGATAAAAATTCTCCAGTTGTGAGGCCCAAACCCAAGCTGAAAATTTTCAAATCTCCAGTTGTGACTTGACAACTCTGTCACATGTACATGTATGTACATGTACATGTAAGCAAAGCATGCATATTAAAATTGATATCCTTATAAAAAAATGTCCTTTTATATAAAATATACAAGAAAATGGATGTAAAACTACTTTTGCCATACACTGTAAACTGATCTAAACAAAAACTGTGATATACGGAGACACACACAAAAAAAAAATGGAGAAGTGAAATAACAAAAATACTGAACTCCAAGGAAAATTCAAAACGGAAAGTCTGTTATCAAATGGCAAAATCAAAATCTCAAACACATCAAACAAATGGAAAACTGTCAAATTCCTGACTTGATACATGCATTTCCTTATGTAGAAGATGGTGGATTAAACCTGGTTTTATAGCTAGCGAAACCTCACTTATATGACACTGACATTCACATATAATTGGAACAAATTGTTTAATCCCAAAAATAATGAACTAAATCAGTTGGAACAAATTGACCATCGACTTGGGACGAATTGGTCAAATCTGGGACGGGACGGATTGGAACGGACCTGGAATGAATTGACTAGCATTCGGCCAAAACGTCTTGAAAGCAATTCTTTTCACAATACTTACATTACATGCGCCACCGTCTAGTGTCAAAAGCAACACATACAGAATACAGTTTAAAAATAAAAAAAAACCAAAAAAATATTTCCCCAAGGCCATATCCTATATGCTATAGGACTACCCAAATGCAATGCTAGAACTAAACAATAGTCATTTACACAATAGCATAATGATAAACTAAACTAAAGTACCTGACTACCTGAGTGCTAAGCATCTCTTGCATCAATACAAAGAATTGAAAATAATCGTGCAGAATGAATATTTACCTTCATCGGTTGCTTGTGCTTCAATATCATCGCAGTCAAAGCTGTCAACTTCTTCAAAATCAGAATTGTTTTCATCCCGGGAAGAAGCGTACGAAGCCATGGTTTGTTGATTTATTTTACTTCCGGTGTAAGTAAAATCTGCGGATAACAATTTTATTAAAAAAAAAGATTGTATCATAAAATCAACGAATCATATGTGGATATTTACATTAATTAGTGTATAAAAAACAAAAATGATATAGTTTCTGAAGAAATATCCGGAGAAATATTCAAACAATTGTATTGATATCTTGTACTTTTTACTTTTTTCTTATTCTACGTGGATTCTTCAACATCCGGTGTAAACATTATACCACAGCCATGGCACAAACATTTCAGCAAGAATACATGCAAATGCCGCCCGTTACACGGGCTTACACGACAGCATGTGTAATCACAACGATAGCTGTGGTATTTTCTTATTCAGTTTTAATATACAAGCAATATTTTCTCGGACTGTAAGATCATAAGATTTTTTCGGGGTTCGTATTGATAGTAAACCCGGCAAATTGTAACAAACCCCTGTGGTTGTACAATCTCATGAATGTACATACGAAGTCTAAATAATTATGAAGTCTTGAAAAGCTATTTTAATTATTTGCACAAGGCAGGAGCATACAGTCTGCGATAAAGTTATTACACAATCTTCAAAACATTTTAAGGTTCATGTGGACCCTTTGGCTAAAATGGCTGCATTTTCACATCAAAATTTACTCTGAGGACAGACAAACCTGCGCATCTGGAAAAGTTTTAAGGCATAGCATGCCCTAGATAAATAAACTTCTAATGCATTGTATGTTTTAGAAAAATTAAAACTTAACTGGATTTAGCAGTGCACTTTTTTTCGTCCCTGCAGAATATGATAAAATTAACAAACAGTTGAGTTTCACTTGATATGGTCCACTCAGGTACACAGTTTAAATCACCAATTATTGTCAGGTATCTATTGTCCATCTATTGTCCATGTCAATCAAAACAGTTCACTTCAATTATTACCTGTGGGGAAGTTCTCAAACCTCTTTCCCAACTTTGTTTATTTTGGCACCTTCTGGTGGAATGAAAAAAAGTGCACTGCAAAATCCGGTTAAGTTTTTAATTTTCTAAAACTTAAAATATATTTGAATTTTATTTATCTAGGGCATGCTATGCCTTAAAACTTTTCCAGATGCACAGGTTTGTCTGTACTCAGAGTAAATTTTGAGGTGAAAATGCAGCCATTTTAGACGAAGGGTCCACATGAACCTTAAACACTTCACTTCGGACATTTTTGAATAGAAGATCTTTCAAAATTGGATGTCACATTTATAGACAATAGACAAGATTTATTTGCCCAAACACATTTACATTAAATGGTTGTGGCATACAGTATATATATGACAATGGTACTAAAATAGTACCAATCCAGTGTCTTTGAGTTTGAAGAACCCAAAATGACATATACACCAATCTTGAGTTGTTTTATATGAATGAGTTACACCATTTGACCCGAGGTCAATGAGCTTAAACAATGTCACTGATTAATCGGTTCTTACTGTGATGTTAAAACATAAGCATTGTGACATAGGAAATTACAGGAAAGTGCACAAATTCAGAACTTGATCCTGAGGTTGAAATTGACACAACTTGTCTCTCTGTACCAATTATTCCCTCTCATGGTAATTTCTCATGGTATTTAGAGTATTTATTTAGGCACAGGATCCGGATTCAGGGCTTGCCAGTACTTGAAAACACCCCGATCTAGCTATATATTCCCCTACAATTTGAGCTGTTGCTTCGTAGGTTTATCTCTTTGGTGATGACAATATTGATCGTATGTCTGTTGGAATTTTCAGTATTACCAGTTGTCTTATCATGTCTTCTCTTTCCTGATGGTATCTTGGCCAGTATATAAAGAAGTGTTCTGTTGTTTCTTCTTCGCCGCATTCACAATATGGCGTGAGGGATTGATCTATTTGGTTTCTGTATTTATTCAACCTGCTGTAGCCTGTTCTTAATTCTGACAATATTCTTCCTATTTGGGGGTTAGGTGTGTCAAGTTGTACAACCCTCCCAACAACACGATTGTATAGTTGTCTCCCCATTTCACTGATTGTCCATCTACTTTGCCATTTGAGTTTTGTAGATGTCTGTAGAATAGAGTTTTCATATAATATCTTATCAGTTCTTAGGTCCCTATTGAGTTTTTGGGGTAAACAGGAAATGAAGGTACTGTATAGTACCAGGTACAAAAAACAGTGCCTTTAAAAAATTTCTTTCTAGTGTGTAGTCAACTATTGGGAGACCTTTTGAAAAATGGTGTTTGGTGTCTTATTTTGCCAGTTTTATATACATATTTTTTCTGCAGCTTTTAAAAAACCGCAGGTTCATTTTTTTCTCAGAGGGCACTCTTATCCCCAATCCAATCTCTTGACCCACCAGATAGTTTAACCAGTCATCCTACATGTAATTGAAAATATAAACAATCAGCTGATTGGTTACACAACATCTAATGCATGGTTAAAATTTTACAGCTCAAATGAATACCTGGTTCAACTTCAAATTGTATATATTTAAAAAAAATGTGGAGCAACAAAGTCCTTTTTATACGACGGCAAAAATTTTTTGGTATGAAGTTGGCGTCGTCGTCCGAAGACACATTGGTTTTCGCACAAAGTTTAAGTGAATGGATCTCTATGAAATTTTAACATAAGGTTCAATACCACAAAAGGAAGGTTGGGATTGATTTTGGGGGTTATGGTCCCAACATTAGGGGCCAAAAATAAGCATTTTTGTAACTTCCAGACAATAACTTGTGTGTAAGTGTATGGATCTCTCTGACATTGTACCACAAGGTTCCAATTCACAAAGGGAATGCTTGGATTGATTTTGGGGGTAATTGCCTCAAAATTTTAGGAATTAGGGGCAAAAAAAAGGGGCAAAAAAACAAGCATTTTTCTAGTTTCATGACAATAACTTGTGTGTAAGTGTATGGATCTTTCTGAAATTGTACTACAAGGTTCCATATCACAAAGGGAAAGCTGGAATGGAGTTTGGGGGTAATTGTCCAAAACGTTTAGGAATAAATGGCCAAAAATAAGCATTTTTCTAGTTTCCAGACAATAACTTGTGTTCAAGTGTATGGATCTCTCTGAAATTGTACGTCAAGGTACCATACCACAAAGGGAAGGCTGGGATTGATTTTGGGGGTAATTGCCTCATAATTTTAGGAATTAGAGGCCAAAAAGGGGCAAATAACAAGCATTTTTCTAGTTTCATGACAATAACTTGTGCATAAGTGTATGGATCTCTCTGAAATTGTACTGCAAGGTACCATACCACAAAGGGAAGGCTGGGACTGATTTTGGGGGTAATTGTCTCAAAAGATTAGGAATTAGGGGCCAAAAAGGAGCAAAAAACAAGCATTTTTCTAGTTTCAGTAGTTTCCCAAAATATTTTATCCATAAAGGTATTATGTAAAATTGAGAATGGAAATGGGGAATATGTCAAAGAGACAACAACCCGACCAAAGAGCAGGCCACCAATGGGTCTTCAATGCAGTGAGAAAATCCCGCACCTGGAGGTAGTCCTCAGCTGGCCCCTAAATAAAAGTATGTGCACCTTTGTATTCATGCATTTGAGTTTTCAAATTCCCATAATACTAATTATTGTCATAATCCATGTGTAATCATAATTTTTTTTTTTTTTTTTCAGCAACTAGACATCATCACACCATTTCAAATTTATTTTAATCCAGATTTGATTTTTAGAAAGTTTCAGGTAAGTTCATGATAGATCTACATTGATGAGTCAAGATTTTTAATCCTAATAACTTAAAGTCAAGTTGAAATTAGTCATGTTAGTATTATGTATTTCTAATGACAAAAACAATGGGATATAACGAGAAAATTATATAAGGTACCATACAGGAGCCCCAATCAATAGTGGAGTACAACTTAGGGGCATTATGTTTTTAGGTCTGTGTGTTCATTTGTCCGTCCGTTCATCCGTCTGTCCCGCTTCAGGTTAAAGTTTTTGGTCAAGGTAGTTTTTGATGAAGTTGAAGTCCAATCAACTTGAACCTAATACACATGTTCCCTATGATATGATCTTTCTAATTTTAATGCCAAATTAGAGTTTTGACCCCAATTTCACGGTCCACTGAACATAGAAAATGATAGTGTGAGTGGGGCATCCGTGTACTATGGACACATTCTTGTTGTAAGAATGTATTTCAAAACATGTCACGTGTGTTATCGGCGATGTGGGGGATAAGTTAATGAAACAGCAAACCAAAACGTGTGTACATTGCATTTATTATATTGATTTTGTCAAAAGTTGACTCTAGTGTGAAATTTATTTCATGGCAATAGAAAGATCTTATACCGTGATATATGCATGATAAACACAGCAAACTTGAGATTAATAGAGAAGCTGAATCCTGTCATATTTAACCAATTACAAAAAAAATCATCAGTTTCTGAATTTACAGCAAAAAAAGAGAGAAAGATACATTTGTAAGACTTAACTGATAAATAGAAATAAACAATATTAATAATAGATAATACAAAATATTTGAAACAGTGCTGTCTCAGAAATATGGTTATTGTGTTATTTATTTATTAATTTCATGTATAATGAAGAGGATCTTGGTTTTGAAATGTCTAATTTATTGTTATCATACAGTTTATTTGTCAACAAACTTTGTTTATTTTTAGGTATGGAGATTAGTAACAAATTTTATGTATTTTGGACCAATAGGATTCAACTTTTTATTCAACATGATATTTGCTTACCGATATTGTCGGATGTTAGAAGAAGGATCCTTTCGGAACAAGACAGCAGATTTTTTCTTCATGATTTTGTTTGGTTGTTCCCTTATGACTGTATCCTTTTATTGTGGTTATATAATATACACTTAACAAAGCTTTACAAATTTAGGGAGATTTTGCAGAATAAAAAATGCAATTTGTATTTTTTAGAGCCCCTAAGTGTGTAGCTTTTTTGTACATCTCAAAATCTATCAGAACTCTGATAGTTCATGCCAATTATTATTTTTTTTAAACATTGAAATTTTGAATTGGACATTGATTTGGCACTGTAATCTATTGAAAAAGGCCAAAAAAGAAAGAGCCATTTTATTTCTTGAGCTTGAGGTGAATTAGATGAAATAAAATAAAGAGAAAGGAAATGTTTTGAATATTTAGGTTATCTCCCTTGATGCACATTTTATAGTTTAAATGGGAGATAATCTTGTAAGTACAAAATTTAGATAAAAAAAGAATGGTTGACTTGTTTAACTTGGTATTTGAATTCTTTAAGCAGTTTAATTATATATCAACACAATATTGTGAGGAGTAAAATTAATCTGCAATTGAAATTGTTAATTTTATGTTACAGGCATAACAAGCTCACAAATATAAATTATAAAATTAAATGAGACTGCAGCTAGATGTGAGACAATAATTAGCCTCCTCATGGGGTTTTTGATTATATGATTACTTGGCTGTTTTTATAGAGATTATTTGATTACCAGACCAAATATTTCATGATTATTTGATTATTTGATAATCTAGGACTGTATTTTTGATTATTTGATTATCTTGTTTGAAAAAATAATTAATAATTATGTGATTATATTGGCAAATAATTTGTAATTATGTGATTACTTGGACACCCCCATGAGGGGCTTCAATAATTGACAAACTTTTTAGAGTACAAATTCATTTTTTGAAGGACATGTACTTTTAACTTGAAGGGGTTGCCAAAAATTTAATATAATTTAAAAAAAACCAACATTTGACACCTCTAATTTTACTTTCCTTAACATACTTAAAGATATTAGGATTAATTGTAAATATTGTTTTTCTTGGTAGTGCTTTTACAATTATGTTAGTGTATTTATGGAGCAGAAGAAATCCATATGTGCGATTAAATTTCTTTGGACTTATGACATTTCACGCACCTTACTTGCCCTGGGTGTTGTTAGGGTTTTCAGTATTATTAGGAAATTCAGTCGTTATTGATTTAATGGGTAAGTTTATCATACGTTACTTTCTAAGTGGGTGTTGTTATGATTCTCATACTGTAAACTCACAAATAAATGCTTGCATTTGTTATTATGAATCACTGATTACTGGATAACTGGTAAAAATGTGAGTTCTTATTAATGTGATTGCAAAATTTAAAAAAAAATTCACTACTGAAATTATTAATGAGAGTTTTTATTATTGCAATTCTAAAACTTTTTCTTTTTTTTGCTTTAGTAAAAACATTGCAGAATTTCTGAATATATTGTAATTTTTTTTTAGAAAAATTTTGTTGCATTAAAATTTATTATTCATTACACTGTCAATTGGTTTTATCAGGTTTCTCTATAGCTATATTATTAAAGTTTTCAGTATTCTAGATATTAATAGGAAAATTTGTTTATATCAATACTTTTGGTAAGTTTAATGAAATGAATATGAATAAAAAGATACCTATCAATAAGACAGCAATTTTACAATGAAAGTTCACAAAATAGACATCTAGAAGTGAAGTAAAACTGAGGTTATTGAGGTTTTCCAGGTATTTTAAATGAATTGTCAATGTAGATAAAACACAAAATTAAAAGAATAAAATGTGAACATGGATATTTTCTTGGGTTGTTAATTTCTGGGTACCATGCATAAACCTTTTGTGAGGGGGTATTTTTAAGGTTACAAACTATTCACGCTGGGGATATTAATGCATGTTTTATAAACTTGATCTGAAAATAATCTTTCATAACACAGGGACAAAAATTTCAAGCTTTAAACATTAGGAACATGGAGTAGAAAACAATGAATTATAAATTTTTGGAAATGGTACATATAGATACAATAATTAGTCTGCTACATATACTTGTAAGGGGCCTCGGTGGCCGAGTGGTCTAAGTAGTTACTACTGTAATCACTAGCCAGTCAACACTGAGGTTGTGAGTTCGAACCCCGCTCGTGCGGGTGTACTCGACTCCAATCTTAATTGACTAGGATTGTCAGTTTTCCTATCGAAGGTCAGTTGTTTTCTCCGGGCACTCCGGCTTCCTCCACCAATAAAAACTGGCCGCCACAAAATAGCCCAAAAGCGGTGCTTAAAAGTGGCATTAAAACACCAAAAATCAAATCAAACATATACTTGTAAACTTCAATCATTTGTAAATGGCAAATATAAAACATTATTATTTAGCTAGATTTGTTTAAAAAGGTATTGATAGGATAATTGGAGCATTTGAATATACATTGTTCAATTTACAAAATACCTTACGGCTTATTTACTCTACAATTTCATTTTTAATTATTATTACAAGAATCCTTTATTCATTATGAATATCATATTTTATAGGTATAGCAGTTGGCCATATTTATTACTTCTTAGAAGATGTTTTTCCAGAACAACAAGGAGGTTTTAGAATCTTAAAAACACCAAGATTTTTGTAAGTTATCTTATGGTTTTTGTTTAAAATAAATAATTAAAGACCTTCCTTTTATGCATAAACCTGGCATGGTGAATTAAACCTGGCATGGTGAATTAAACCTGGCATGGTTAATTAAACCTGGCATGGTGAATTAAACCTGGCATGGTGAATTAAACCTGGCATGGTGAATTAAACCTGGCAATTAAACCTGGCATGGTGAATTAAACCTGGCATGGTGAATTAAACCTGGCATGGTGAATTAAGGCTACAGTAGTTTACCAATGTTCAAATCATGTAAAAAGATTGGAAAGAAACAAATCAAAGTGACAAACAAAAACTGAGGGAATCGCAACCGGGTGCATAGACAGGGTAAGTGTTTCCTACGATGCATTCATTACCCAACATACTGATTTACACTCAGTCAAAATGTCACAATCATGAATAGGACAACATCAGTAAATTACAGATTGGACAACCTTACTGCCCAGTATCTAAAGATATAAGATTTTCAAATTTACAAAATAAAGTATTGTAAATCACAGAAAACTATCACCTTTGTCTTATTATTTCGTATTTTACAGATAAATGGACGTCATTTTTTTGGGCAGTTCACATTTAGATACAATCTTGGATTGAAATTTTTTAGAAATCAATAACTTTTCAAACCTTAATAGAACTTTATGAAAATTTATACTTGAGAGTTTTTTTCTGTAAACTGTTTCTTTAAGACAATGTTGACAGCTACTAAAGTATGATATTTTACAATTTTCTTGAGAGTCCTGTTAAAAAATGCTTTCAAGGTTTATTTCCTTCTTAAAATACTGGCTACATCCTTCAAACTAAAATGAATTTGTTATCAAAAGATGTAAATGGGTTGAGACACACATCATAACAAAAAAACGTTATTGAGGTCTATTCATGTGTCTGAGGCAAAAACCATAAAATTATGATATTCATCATAACAGTGCAAAATTATGATGTCACAATGATATCACTACTGTTATATTGCATCAGAACTTGTTTATTTATTATTTGTCAGGAAGTTAAATTTCATGGCATTTTAAAAGGATCAAAATTAAATTCATTGACATTGTGAATTGACTCCTTGTCTATACTATTGTTAAGTGTTTATTTTCAATTAATTGTAGTCTCTTTTTTTTAACAATTTAGAAATAAATGATCTAAATGAAAATATTAGTTAAAGCATACTGTTAGGGTTTATGTTTTCGTGATAACAATGCATACACATTTTTTGTGCATTAACAATTAGTTAACACATCACACAAACGACACTTTACTAGATGGTAATGTTGAAATAAGTGAAATTAAAACCCATTGGGAAAATTTTCATTTTTACAGTATTTTTTAAACAGTGCATATTAATTTACATACATTATAATTTCATTTTTTCTTCTTACTTTTGTAGAACATACTTATTAGAAGGACCCACTGAGGACCCCAACTATAACCCACTTCCAGAAGAGAGACCAGGAGGATTCAATTGGGGAGAGGGTCCAGAGGGGGATGAGCAGTGACATTTTAAAGAAATATTTTTCATTTTACTTACAGGGAGGAAGCAATTATCTTCATTTGAGTGATGTATGAATGAACATGTGTGGGGAAAAATGACATTAAAAAGTTTATTAGTGATTGACATGATGTCCTGGTGCTTGTTATATGCTTATCTTATGATTATAGGTGGCTGCTATTGCGAACACATTATAGTATCCATATTGAACTTAAATAAACAAAAAACATTTTATTTAACCTAATCAAATGGCTCATTAAAAGAATTAAATCATGAGAAACAAAAAATAAAACTAATTTGAACACACTTGCATAACTTTCATAATTTCATAATGATTATGATGATTAATAATACAATTATGCATACGCAAAACAAACAAATTGGAGTGGAGAGTTATTAAGATTTGTCACATGAGGATATGTACATGAGTCATTCCAGTTAAACTTGTAACTGTTCTATATCATAATAAAACGTCAGCCCCCCCCCACCCATAAACAAAAAAGTAGAATAAAACAGAAAGAAAAAACTTCAAGGAAATCAAACTTAAAAACCAATTGGTATGGTTTCTGCACTGTCAATACATATTTCTGAAATAATCTTCATCCCATATGCTCATGATAAATAAAAAGCATGGAAACAAAAAAATGTTGGCAGCATTATTACACAAATTGCCTAAAAAAAGAAGAGGCAAGAACTGTCTAAGGTCAACTTTGCAGAAGGAGTTAAACTATATTTTTGAGAGAACCTCAAGTATGCATATTCACAACATTCATGGTGATTTTGTTGTATAAATTAGAAATATTTGCACTGTACTAGCAAGATACAACAGACATTCTGTATTTAATTCATGTTCATAATTGATTACTGGACATTAATGCCTCTTACCTTCATGTGCTGTTTATTTCTATAGAACCTTGATTACTGGACTTTGCTGCCTCTAGCATCAGCATGTACTGTATTTCTACCAAACTTGGACAGAAGCTTGTTTATGATCATAAAATAGTATCCAGAAGTAAATTTTGTAAAAAAAAATCCTGTTTATATGTATTTTACTTATAAATGGACTTACTTTTTCTGCCAGTTAATATTACATTCACTCTGTGGTTAAAGTTTTTAAAATTTTAATAACTTTCTTAAACAATCCTGGATTTGTACCAAACTTGGACAGAAGCTTGTTGATGATCATAAGATAGTATCCAGAAGTAAATTTGTTAAAAAAAAAAATTTCATTTTTTCCGTATTTTACTTATAAATGGACTTAGTTTTTCCACCAGGAAACAATACATTCACTCTGTGGTTAAAGTTTTTAAAATTTTAATAACTTTCTTAAAATATCCTGGATTTGTACCAAACTTGGACAGAAGCTTGTTTATGATCAAAAGCTAGTATCTAGAAGGAAATTTTGTTAAAATGTTGTACCTGTTTATCCGTATTTTACTTATAAATGGACTTAGTTTTTCTTCCAGTTAACATTACATACAGTCTGCAATTAAAGTTTTTAAAACATTTATTAGATTCATAAACCATCCTGGATTTTTACCAAACTCGGATAGAAGCCTCTTACAATCAAAAGATAGTTACTAGAGGAAAATTTTAATAATTTTTTCCACATTTTTGTTGAGCCTGCGACTAACAGCAAAAGTAGGCGAGTCACTGGTTCCGCGGAACCCTTACGAATTTTTAGATGGTAAACAGCATAAACATGCACGAAAAAAATATATGAACAGGGATATAAATACAAGACAATATCCAAAGTACTGTAAATTCAGAAATTTTTGTGATGTTTTTATTATTGCGAAAATTGCAAGGAGTAGGACCATTAAAAAATAAAACTTTGAAATCAATTGTATGAAGCATATACTGAAATTGTTAAAATTAATTTTGCATTTTTGTCCATTCTTCAAAAATGCACACACAAATTTCTGAATTTACAGTATATAGAGATGACAAAACCAAAAAACTTTACCTTCAAATGGTCTATCCCTGAAATCTCATTGAAAAACTCTGTTAAAAGCTACTTTTTGAAATATTTTCAAATGCAAAGGGACTATCTTGTTTGGATAATGCTATGATATTCATTCATTCATTCACTTTATGTGCTAATCCGAATTTCAAAGAACTCTACAAATAAGGGAAAATTATGTCTGCACCAATCTGATTAACTTGTATTTATCCCAACAATATTTTTGAATAACTTGTGCAACTGGCCAGAAATTAAGTGTGATCTCTTCAGATCACTTTGTGTATTTAAAGTTATCTGTTTGATATTGTAAAACATTCCAAAGATTAGACTTACCTGACCCATGTGTTGTCCTTCATACACTTCAAAAAGGTCTTCCACCATTGGAACCATAGATTCAGAAATTTAAACAAAAATTAACATTTCAAATCAAAGGTCACTTACACTTACTTTTACCTCGAAATTTGACATAAGCAGTCATCTCAGTACAAGAATCTATGACAAACGAGACGATTTTAATTTTGAAATTATAAATTTCCCCCACCTTAGCAGCAGTATACCAACTTCAAGGGCATATGGGATGTACATTTCCCAACTCATTCGGTATTCAAGAGCTTGCAGCTGCTACTCAGACTTTGTGAAACGTCACCAGTGTCTGAGCAGAAAGTTGACGAACCAGAGTTATGTCAAAGAACGCTTAGTCCTTACAAAAGTGCATCGGAAGATACCAAGATCTTGTTGATAAATATTCAGTATCAACCTCATGAATAATACATGATGGTCTTAAATAAAATTGAGAATTGAAATGGGGAATGTGTCAAAGAGACAACACCCCCACCAAAGAGCAGAAGTATAGGTTCTAGGTACTGACATTGTTTATCATCTTAATTACGTGTTATATGTCTTTGTATATTTTTAACCTTTACTGTTTGGTCTTATTTTTGTAATATCCTTTTGGTGTGTCTCGGTATTTATACACCCGCCATTGTGTTATTGTACTATGGTCACTTTTGTATTCTTGTCTTTCAGTTTTGCATATGTGCTTTGTCTATAGAGTGTCTATATGACATTTTGTTTGTATACGACCGCAAAAAATTTGCATTCGTATATTGCTATCATGTCGTTGTCAGCAGCAGTGGCGTCCGAAGACACATTGATTTGTTTTCAGAACAATAACTTTAAGGAAGGTTGGGATTGATTTTGGGGGTTATGGTACCAACAGTTTAGGAATTAGGGACCAAAAAGGGGCCAAAAACAAGCATTTTTCTAGTTTCCGGTCAATTACTTGTGTGTTAGTATATGGATCTCTCTGAAATTGTACCACAAGGTTCCATATCACAAAGGGAAGGCTGGGATTGAGTTTGGGGGTAATTGCCCAAAACGTTTAGCAATTAGGGGCGAAAAAGGGGCCAAAAACAAGCGTTTTTCTAGTTTCCAGACAATAACTTTTGTTAAAGTTTATGGAACTCTCTGAAATTGTACATTTTTCCTGAAAAGAAAATAATCTTTAAAATTAAATTTTGGGGGGGTGTTTTTCAAAAAGTTTGGGGGGGAACACATTTTTTTGGGGATTTTTTTTTTATAATATTGGGGTATTTTTCCCCAAAATTTTCCATTTTACATAGATTATTTCTGATTTATATATAAAAGCAACAAATACTGATATGGCAGGAGATACACACCAAACAGGGTGTATAAATTATTCTATATAACAGATTAACTAAGTATTGTGCAACAGCACAATATTGCGCAATAGCACAGTATTGTGCAACAGCAAGAAATCTTCAATTGAAAATAAATACAAATCTTTTAACCAATTTCAATGGGATTAATTTAAAGTCTTTAATTTTTGGGGTTCTCACTTTGTATTACTATTTTGGATATTGGTTCCCATTTTTAAATTGGTCTACATTGAGGTCCAAAGGATCCAAAATTAAACTTTGTCTGATTTCATTAAAAACTGAATTATTGTGGCTCTATGATATGCTGAATCTTATTGTGCATTTAGATTTTTTATTTTGGGCCCTGTTGTCAAATTAGTCGATATTAAAGTTTGAAGGGTCCAAAATTAAACTTTGTTTGATTTCAACTAAAATAAATTTTTTGGTGTTTTTATACGCCCGTTTACGGGACGTATTATGGTATACCGTTGTCCGACTGTCCGTCCGTCCGTTGTCAACATGTCGGACATTAACTCAAAAACACTTCAACCAATTTGCATAAAACTTTGGTGAATTGTTTATATCTATTGATGTGAGCTCCCTTTCATTTTTTATAAAATTTAGATTTTATCTTTCTGAGTAATGGGGTTTTATTCATTAAAAAAGGGGGGATTTTCCAGTTTTCGGACAATAACTCAAAAATGCTTTCACCAATTTGCAAGAAACTTTGGTCAATTGTTTATATCTATTGACATGAGCTCCCTTTTGATTTTTATAAATTTTAGATTTTATGTTTCCGAGTTATGGAGTTTTATTCATTAAAAAATAAAAAGGGGGATTTTCCAGTTTTCGGACAATAACTCAAAAATGCTTTCAGCAGTTCTCATGAAACTTTGGAGAATTGTTTATATCTATTGATGTAAGCTCCCTTTCAATTTTTATAAATTTTAGATTTTACACTTCTGAGTAATGGGATTTTATTCATAAAAAAGGGGTGATTTATTAGTTTTCGGACAATACCTTTAAACCTTATTACCTTTTCATTAAACTTTGGTGACTGGTTTATATCAATTAAGATAACATCCTTTTAGTTTTTCACAAATTTCTGATACGACATTGAGTAGTTATTGAACTTTTTTCGTAAAAAATGCGATGGGCGTATCATGTGCTCATGGCGCAGCTGTTTATTTTATATGCTGAATCTAACCATGTTGTTAAATTTTGGATATCAGACCATACTAGGTAAATTAAATGTCCCATTTCAAATTTTTAAGATCTTTGACCACATTCATTTTTGTGTCAGAAACCTATATTATGTCAAAAATTTGATCACAATCCAAATTCAGACAGTATCAAGCTTGAATATTGTGTCGAAACTTGCCCTAACTGTTCAGGGTTCGACCTCTGCGGTCGTATCAGGCTGCGCTCGGCGAAGCATTTTTTTCTTTGTTGACATAGTTATTTGTTTTTACAGTGATTACGATTATAACACAATGTTGGCTGCTGTACCCCAATTTTTTACATTTGTGCCTTTTATGTCTGGCTGTTTTGCTCACACATTATTGATAATATAATGGAATTCTATGCGACTCTTACAAGTGAGAGGTTTAGCTAGCTATAAAACCCGGTTTAATCCACCATTTTTTACATAAGGAGATTTCTGTACCAAGCCAGGAATATAACAGTTGTTTTCCATGCATTTGATGTGTTTGAGCAATTGAATTTGCCATTTGTTAAGGGACTTTCCGTTTTGATTTTTTTTTAGTTTGGTATTTTTGTTATTTTACTTTTACATGGCTAATGGTAACAAAAGATTAACCATTATTTAGGCCGTTAAATTGTAAAAATGAAGAATAGCAATTTTTTATGTCAATGTGATGATGGTGAAGTTTGTGTCGAATCCATAGCTTTGAATTAAGGGATCTTTTGACAAATCGTCTTTTTGGTAAAGGCTGTTACTCATATATATTTGTAGTTATTGTTCGGAAGTTCTCAAGTTGAAATCATCCTTTCGCAAATTTGACGGACGCCATCAGGAGTTGGTTGACCGTTACGGAATATCTGTTTTCACAGATGACTACGGATATGTTTCAATAGTAACCATAAACTCGCCCTTCTTTTCCTCGAATGTGAACTACCGAATTAGACTTACCATCGGGTTTGTACTTACATGAGCAACACGACGGCTGCCTCGAAGCAAGATCTACTGACCCATCCGGAGCACCTGAGACCACCTCCAGTTTTTGGTTCATGTTGCCCAGTCTTTAGTTTCTATATGTTGTGATCTTTTTATTTTAATGCCACAGCGTTTTCAGTTTATTTTCGACTTGTGAGTTTGATTGTCCCTTTGGTATCTTCCGCCTCTCTTTCAATATTCAAATATATAATCGTTGATTGAAAACATACTTATGTTTTTCAAACATGATCTTGCAATTGAAAAAAAGAAGTAACTACCCGAAAAAAATATGTTTAAGACATGCTTCAATAAATTGGGGTATCATAGTTATGGTATTGCATGATTCATGAACCAAAAAGAGTAACATATCTTTGCAATAAATCCGAAAAATGCTGTTAACTTGAAACACATAAGAATGCGTAAGTAAACAGACTTACTTTGTTGAAATGGCCTATAAAAATAAAACATGAGAATATGTAGTTGATCGTATTAGATCAGGTCTGAATATCCAAAACAATAAAATGGTATGAATGTTATATTTTAAATTGGTTTTTGCCTTTCAACTGTTTTGATTCGATTGCCACTGGTGATCCTTGTATTAACAAAACATGCACGGTGAAAACATGCATGCGGCATACCGAGTAATTTGTTTTGAATTAAAAATGAATTTGACGTTTTCTACCGAATTAAAGAAAAGTAAATAAAAACTAT